GCTGCTCCATGTTTTCCATCCAACATTACAGAAGGTCACAGCAGAGAAGCTGGCTGTCTCTCAGCTTTTGTTCATCTTTGACGGCCTGGATGAAAGCAGACTTTCATTGGATTTCACCATAACAGGAAGCTCATATCTGACGTCACACAGAAGTCATCAGTCTGTGAGCTGCTGACAAACCTCATCGAGGGGAGTCTGCTTCGCTCGGCTCTCATCTGGATAACTTCCAGACCTGTAGCAGCCAATCTGATCCCTTCTAGATGTGTCGACAGGGTCACAGAAGTACGTGGATTCACGGATGAGCAGAAGGAGAAGTACTTCAGGAAGAGACTGAGTGATGAAGAACGGTCCAGTAGAGTCATCTCCCACATCAAGTCATCTAGGAGCCTCCACATCATGTGTAGAATCCCAGTCTTCTGCTGGATCACCGCTACAGTCCTTGAAGACATGTTGACTACAGAGCAGAGGGAAGAGCTGCCCAAGACCCTGACGGATATGTACTCACACTTCCTTCTTGTTCAGATGAAGAGAAAGAAGCACAAATATCATGAGGGACAAGAGATGGCAGAGGAGGTAGCAGAGGCTGATCGGGAGGTTCTTCTGAAGCTGGGAAGGCTGGCATACGAACATTTGGAGAAAAGAAGCATCATATTCTACCAAGAAGACCTGGAGGAGTGTGGTCTGGATCCCAAAGAGGCCTTGGTGTATTCAGGGGTTTGTACAGAAATCTTCAAAAGAGAGTGCGTGATCTTCGAGTCTTCGAGTCCAGTCTACTGTTTTGTTCATCTGAGCATTCAGGAGTTTCTGGCTGCCGTCTACATGTTTCACTGTTACGCTAACAAGGACATAGAGGTGTTGAAGCAATTCCCGGGGACAAAGTGGGACAACACAAACAATGACACATCTCTGGATGTCTTTCTGAGCAGAGTCATGGACAAGTCCCTCAAAAGTAAAACTGGCCACTTGGATCTGTTTGTTCGGTTCCTTCATGGCCTCACTCTGGAATCCAACCAGAAAATCTTAGGAAGTCTGCTGGGCAAGGCAGAGATCACTCCAGAAATCATCCAGAGAACTGTTAACAGCCTCAAGGAGAAGAAAACAAAAATCGCCCCCGACAGAAGCATCAACATCTTCCACTGCCTGATAGAGATGAATGACCTCTCGGTATCTCAGGAGATCCAAGAGTTCCTGAAGTCAGAAAACAGATCAGAGAAGGAACTCTCTGAGATCCATGCTCAGCTCTGGCCTTCATGCTGCAGATGTCAGAGGAGGTTCTGGAGGAGCTTGGACTTGAAGAGTACAAGACATCAGGAGGGACGACTGAGATTGATCCCAGCTGTGAGGAACTGCAGAAAGGCTCGGTAAGTCCAGGTGGAAATTTCTTTTGGAGTCAAACGTAGTATTTGACTCTACCAGTGTATCATTTGGTACCGATATGAAACTAACGGCAGTATGTTCAGTAAGTTCAACTCCATAAAAAGTAGACAAAAGCCGTGTCCAAATTCATGGGCTGCATCCTCCTGAGGACCCGGCCTTCGCAGTCTACGTGGGCCGGGTCCTTCGAAGGCCGGGTAGGCCAGAAGTGAGCGAACTTTAATCTCAGCCAAACCAATTAACTCACGAACTAATAAAACACTGAAAAAAGCCAAACAATAACATTTTTAAATTATCTAAGTGACTTATGTTTAACCTGAGTAGCGAAAGACCACGCTGGGTTTGAAAACGAGTTTGCTGTTCTCGCCAGCTCTAGTGAGCCTTGAACCCCGGCTAGCTATCGAGCTGGTGGGTAACAGATGTCTCTGAAAACGTCGGAGCACTTTTACAAATATGTGATATCTTAATAAAACTGAGCAGATATTTGAAGTTTACACAGCTACATTCTCACCTGAAAATATCTTAAAAGTTTATTTTGTGACCCAGAAAGAATAATAATAAAACTTAGTAGCGACCATTGTTGGAAATTGGAATTGGCTGGGCCGCACTATGAATTCTGGGATATGGTGGCACAAAGGATACACCCAACCCATCCTTCAAATCTTGGAGAAAAGGAGGACGGATTTGTCGGCCTCATTTGTCGGAGTCTACGACTTTAGACAGCCTTTGTCACATCGCTGTGACGCAATCGGCCAACAAATGCGGCCTCAGGAGGATGCAGCCCATGAATTTGAAGAAGCCCAAAGTCACATTAAATGCAGTGGACAATAACATTTTCCTGGAAAAGATGGCCTCTCGATATCTTTGGGGAATCTGATGTGTAGCAGACTGCGGACTGTATGGGGTCTATAAATGTATTGTAACACATTTTGTTGTATGTGTATTAATGTGTGTGACAGACTCCCTGGCTGTGAGCTCTCAGATACTCACTGTGAAGTCGTGGCCTCAGCCCTGAAGTCCAGACCCTCCCACCTGGTACATCTGGACCTGAGTGGAAACTACCTGAAAGACCCAGGAATGGAGCTGCTGACTGGTGGACTCAAAAGTCACAACTGTAAACTAGAGTTTCTGAAGTCAGTTCATACTTTAAATTCAAAAATTAATAATAATTCTTCCCCCAAGTGTTCAGTGATCAGATTTTCACAAACATATAATTTAATATCTAATATCTCAATATGTTTATGACTAACACTAATGACTATAGATGCGTATTTGAATCTACAAAGAGTCTGAACTCGTCTTTTCCTGCTGAAGATCGAGCCAAATCCAAGCTCATCAATAACATAGTTTGACTCTCAGGCCTGTTTAATAAAAGGTTTGAGATTGTGAACACTAAATGTTCTCAACTAGGAGTTTAAACTGTTTTGTTCTGTGTCCAGTTTGAGTTCATGCAGGTTGTCAGAGACCAGCTGTGATTCTCTGGTCTCTGCGCTCATGTCCAACCCCTCCCATCTGAGAGAGCTCGACCTGAGTGACAATAAGCTGCACGATTCAGGAGTGGAGCTGCTTTGTGTTTTTCTGGAGAGTCCAGATTGTCGACTGGAGGCTCTGAGGTCAGAGTTTTCTTTTATTCTGGTTTCCTGCTTTTCAGTTGATGGTGGTTTGCAGGATTAGGAAATGTTAACACACTTAAAACCTAAAATACGATTTGATTGTAAAATATGTTATTTAGGTGATCTTTATTTTTCATTTAGGTTGAGGATCTGCAGATTGTCATCCTACAGTTGTAGTTTTCTGGTCTCTGCTCTCAAGTCCAACCCCTCATATCTGAAAGAGCTGGACCTGTCTGGAAACAACAAGCTGAAGGATGATGGTGTGCACTACCTGTGTGATTTTCTGGGCAGTCCAGACTGTAGGCTGGAGATTCTAAAGTCAGTCAACATTTTTCTTTTCCACTTCCTCAGTTTGAATCACTGCATCTATTTGCCTTTATTTTCTTGTTTTTTTGCAGTTTTCTAAACTTCTCTATGTTACATTTTCTTCTTCTCTGAACACATTATTATCAAACACCTAACTTTGCGAAGTGGGAGCTTGTTTTTCTAAACCTGTTTTATTTTTTATTCAGCCTGTGGAAATGCAGATTGACGAGGTCCAGCTGCCATCCTCTGGTCTTAGCGTTGAAGTCGAACCCCTCCCATTTGAGAGAGCTGGACATGAGAGAAAACTACTTGAAGGGTTATGACGTGACAGCACTGATTGATCTTCAGAAGAATCCAGACTACAGACTGGAGACGTTCAGGTCAGTAGGAGGTTGTTATTAATCTGCTTGAGCCTCACCAATCAGCCTGTCATAGAAGTCCCCTCCTCATGAGCTCCCCTTTATAGATTCTATGGCCTTTAGGGCACTTTTCTAAATATTCAACATTAAATTTGTCTTGAGTGAAATCTGCTGAGAAAAAAGACTTGAATCCATTGAATTCAAATTTATTTATGTTGCATCAAATCATAACATCAGTCACCTCAAGGCATTTTATGTTGTAAGGTAGCAACCGCTCTGTAATACAAGCATGCAAGTCTTTGAACTCAGCATGCTTAAGGAAACATGAGCGCTGAGGAAGCTGCTATGCTGCTATTTATATTGTGGTTCATGTGCTGCATCAGTGACTGACAGCTGACTGCGTGAGTCTCTGTAAACACTAACTTATCACCTCAATTGTTTCTCTTTTCAGGTGGGAGTCACCGATGCGTAAGTGAACGTATGTCCTCGTGTGCAGAGACACTCTGATTGTGGCCATATTGTTGGGACGTAGACATTCATCCAGCAGCGACTGACAGATGAGTGAGAGGAAGTGTAGATGATTGTCAGCGCTGCAGAGTGGACTGCACCGTTTTCAGAAACCAAACCTTCTACACAGGCTGCGATACACTGGGATCCTTTCTAAAGCGCCTCCGTTAACCCTCTTTGGAAATCCAGTCTGGGATCAAATCCACCGTTTGTACATTTCTTCAAAAGAATATTCAAATCAATTTTATTTATATAACACCAAATCGCAACAACAGTTTCCTCATGGTGTTTTATATTGTAAGGTAGACCCTACAATAATACAAAGAGAACAGAAACCCAACAATCAATGACCCCCTGTGAGCAAACGCTTTGGTGACAGTGGGAAGAAAAACTTACTTTTAACAGGAAGAAACCTCCAGCAGAACCAGGCTCAGGGAGGGGCGGGGTCCCTGAGCACTGTTTATCTTGGCCTATCTCCCACCAACATATATGACTATATTTGTCAATAAATAAACTATTAGCTGCACAAATCCCGCCCAGTAACTCCGGTGCCTTAGTGACTCAATCTCTTCCTGATTGGTGGCATCATTCAAATCCCGCCCAGTAACAGCTGCAGGTCTCAGGACGACGGGGTGACAGTAGACAGATGATGCGATGATTAGAGATGTGATTTTATAGAACGTGTTTGTTGCTGTTGTTTGCATTTAGCTCTGTGATAATGATGGCTGATAAATGTTTACTTATTTCATGGTCTGCGGCCTTTTAAAAACAAAAATCTGATCTGACAGAACCTTTAACTTTAAACAAATTTCCCACGCGTGGGACTAATAAAGGTTATCTTATCTTATGTCAGGTGACTTGGCTGGGATAACAAACTACAATAAACTTAAAATACCAAATCAGCCCGTCACACATCTTGTATGTAGCGTGGTTCAAAACTGACATAACCAGGTCACCTGTCTCAGCTCCGTTAAGGTGGACTGTCCTGTGGTGCTGTGAACTCTGCAGAGCACTACAATACACAAAGTTTACAAACACCAGTATCAGTTTATCAGAAACACCAGTATCTGTACTTTTAAATTTTTTGCCTTTATTGAATAGTGAAGACAGACAGAAAGCAGAGAGACACACAACAAACGGCCACAGGTCGACTTGAACCCAGGCCACTGCATCTGTACTTTCACTTTCACTGTTTTTTTTACTGTTAAAGCAAAAAATTATCTGCACTCTCCCACCAGAGTAAATTTATTTTTGCAATAAGAGTTAAATGTAAACATAATAAGAAAGAAAACAGTAGTAGTAGCAGAAATGTGCTCACAGTGCTGCAGTATTTAACAGGGCCCACCTGTTATAAATGCCAAAAGCTGGGTGCTTGTTCCTGCCACTGAAAAAACTTGTTTTCCACATCAGTAAGTCATAATTTCAGTTTATGGTTAGAGTTCAAAGTGTTTTTGTTGTCAGTTTATAATTTTCTCAGTGTTTCGAGTCTGAGCCCAACCTGAACTGTAATTTCAAGTTTGATAATAACCTGAAAATTTGACTTACAGATGGAAAAAGGGAGGAAACATGCATCTTTTTTGTTGATATTGTTGTTGTTTTGTCTTTCACTGATGTTAAATAACCGTTACCACATAGTCACCTACTGACTGTGTTTTATTGTATTACCTCTGACAACCTGTTTTGTGTCTCTTTGTTTCTTGATGCTCGTTTGTGCCTTCAATACAAAAATGTTAAAATACACGAGACAGCCCAGACTCAATAACCCTCATCCACAAATACATTTTTGTAGATGATCAATTTCAGATTAATAGTGCTCCAATGGGACTACACATAGAAAACAGCAGAAAAATGTGCATGGATGTTTAAAAAACCCATCATCAGTAAAGAAAGAACATCTGGTTGCTGTAGGTGGGTTTGGCTGCAAGATAAATCTGTTTTCATTAGATTTAAAGCCATTTTTGATAACATGTATTATTATTGCTGTAAAAATGTGCACAAACAGTCACGAGCAGCTGCTGGATGGAGGAAAATATTATGAGCTTTACCTGATTAACATCTAACCGAAAGAAGAAAATATTTTTCAAAAGCTGCCCACTTTGGCTTCACCTGCTGTGGGGTTGCCAGCAGCTCGTCTCCTGTCATCTTTCACCAACATGGTGCTATAGACTAAAGTTAGAAACACAGCTTGCATCAGAAGAGTGCTTGGCCAGTAGCAGAGGCAGCTAGTCCTGTTTGCTGAGGTGATGGAGGAATGAGCCGGTCGAGCGGGAAGACTCCTGCATAAAAAAAGCTCCAGGCGTCACACGAGGCCTCCGTAAACAGGCTGTTAAAAGCTGTTTTTAAAATGGGAAACAACCTTTTTTATGTGAATGCAGCCAAATGTCGACTTTATATTTATCTTTGTAGTTTTTACAGCATTTAAGTGCAAAGCATAAATGTATGTTTACACTACACCTGTCGTTTGAATAAAAGATAATTTCACAGAACGTGAACCTCAGGAGCGTTTTATTGTGAAAAGATGCAATATTTAGCTTATGTCAACTGAGATTTGTTGTTTGTTGGCTTTTTGTCTGCTTGTTGCTCTCAATTAATTTTTTTTATTAAAGAAATGTTTTTAAAAACTTGCAAAATAAAAAACTGTGACACATGAAGCACCTTGTAAACCCCCTTCAGTATAAAAACTCATCCACACTCACTTTACAGAGTAAAAATGTGAACAGAAAACAGCAGCGCTAAGAATCAGTGGCATTTCCCTTTAATGCAATGTTGCAGGCAAAAAATGAAATCACCACAGCAAAGAACAAAAAAGCAAAAAAATTAACACAGCAAACCTGCGATTTCACTGCATTTCAATTAAAAAGAAGAAAAACTAAAACGCTTCATAACACAGCTCGTTGCATCTCTTTTCAGTGTTATGCAGCAAACTCAGTTCATATTCGAATGATTTTCACCTCCTGTAACATAAAAAGTACAGTTATGACAGGATGAGTTTAAAATAACATTTGAAAGGTTTCGGCTCCTGCAACGAGTGAGCTCTGTGGCAATTTAATTACACACGGCCGGCTCTTTAAAAGCCACATTTTAGCCTCGAAAAGAGTTTTATGCTTGATTTAGTGTTGATGCATATTTCAGTACAAACTTCACAAACGCAGTTATAGACCAGGCGGAAAGAGACGATCGTTCGGTGAAAATGAGAATCTGCGAATGCAACATGTGGAACACGGTGGAATAAACAAACCGGTATTTTGGTATTCTGTTTCCAGAAGACTGTACTGCTCATCTCGTATCAGGTTCAGCTCTCTGAATGAGAGCAGAACCACCACATTAATGTCTTGGTTTTCCAAGCCCTCTGCCCAGTCCAGAGTGAACTTCTGAACCGAGAAGGTCTTCCCAACTCCAGCGATGCCATTTGTCAGAACGACTCGGATATCTGTTTGTTGGTCAGGTAAGGCTTTAAAGATCTCATGGCACTTGATTGGAATGTCCTCGAGGGTGATCTTGGAAGGTGTCTCAAGCTGCCTCACCTCATGCTGCGTGTTCACATCTTCAGGCCGCCCCTCCGTGATGTAGAGCTCAGTGTAGATCCTGTTGAGGAGGGTTCCTTCGGTTTCATGAGTTCCTTCAATCACATGTTCACATTTCTTCTTCAGTATGAGCTTATGATAATCTAAAACCTCCTGCAAACCACCATCAACTGAAAAGAAGGAAAACACAATATAAGAAAACTCTTAAATGTCTGAACAAAAAGATAAACTCCAGTTTTCAGAAATGAATCTACCAGCAAATAGATGTTCAGTCTTACTTGGTATCAAGCTGCTCGGACTGGCTGTCTGGACTCCAGCTGTGGTTCCTGAGTGGTGCCAGGAGGGCAGCTTTGATGAAGCAGACCAGTCCCTGCATGAAGTGAAGCACTGTCTGCAGAAGTGTCATAAATATCAAAGTTTAATAACATGCTGGCTTACAGAAAAATATCATTATTGAATCATATTTAAATACAACACCTCTGTTTTATTTCTGCTTTAACAGAATCACACATGTAAATGAGGTAATGATTAGTAAAGTCATCCATGTGCCCTAATGCTAATACCCTCACCGAAAGCATTATGTTATTGGTTTTGATTTGGCAGGATTATTGAAAGAAAATCAAAAACTATTGTACAGTCTGACCAATCACTGACGCTATGGTCCCTGCTACAGAGCAGAGGAACCCTCTGGCTTTTTATCAGTGCACCGGAGCACAGCTGCAATAGTGCATCTGCGCATGGGTAACTTCCACATCTGTTAAAGCACCATTAATGCTAGTAGCTTTTAGGACAATATATGCTGCAGCTGAGACAACAAGTTTTTAAAAAGGCCAAACTACAGTTTGTATACCGACAGGACCACTAAGCTTTAGCAAAAGACTAGTAGACCAAACTAAAAAGTCAGAATGTATCAGGAGAAAAGTTACATTCAGGCCTTTATGTCTTGGAGACATAAGAGGATACCAACGTGGTTTGCCGGTAGTTTCGACTCCTGCTGGAATGTTTTTAAAAGTGTTTTTTTCGTCAGATTTTTAAAGGGTTCGCTGACACAAAACAGGAAACGCACCAGACGCCAGCTCACCTGGCAGAAACAGCGCCACAGCAGTCGAGACAGAAGAGTTTGACTCCAGAAAAACACGTCGAAAAGTAAATGTAAGACTTCTAAATCATAAAATAAACATCAGCAAAGATGAAAACAAGGATTCAGGTTTTGGAGTTTCCATATCAGGTCTGATAAACACCTCTCTGTGCCTCGCTCGCCTTCTTCCACTCGCACTTCTGTGCTTTGTTTTTAATATTTGTATGTACACCCCCTCCTCGTGGACGTATAAAAATGCATTGTCTTGATTCATAGAAACCTGAGTTGCTCGACATGTTCTGTATTTACAGTTCTGCTGCACGTAAGGAGGAGATCAGCTGGCTCATACAGACGTCGCGTGACCATCGGTGGAGGCGAGAAACGCCTTTTCCCCCTGTCAGCCTCATTTACAGGCAGGCAACACATCATTTTAGTTTGTGTTTGTGAAGGAAGAAGGAGAAAACTCAGTTAAAGCTGCTTCTGTGGCCTCTTCTTCTGCTTTAAATTTACTGGCACATCCTAAAACTGCACAAGAGAAGCCAGAGAGGAGCTTTAAAGCAGAGGTGCTCGGCCCTGCTGCACAAACACCTGACTTTACTGATGTTTTATCAGCAGCTCTCTGATCACGCTCAGATAAAGTTCATTATTTGGATATTTTACATTTCTATTTAAGCTTTAGTGCTAACATTTGAAATCC